TGTTCCTGCCTTCTCTCATAAGCTGAGTCACGGCTGGGCAGCCAGCAGCCCAGCCCGGACAGTCTCTTCCACATTCCCCGTCCTCTGGAGATGGACCTCTGATCAATGCAGAGCATAGACCCCCATCACATTTATGGGAAACACAGTGACCACACCACTGCCCCTGTCCCGCTCAGCCCATCAATCAAATGTCGAATTCGCGGCAGCACCGGCTGAGCTCGCCCGGATGAGGGGCGTGGACACAGAACAACACAAAACCACAGAAACGGGTCTAGACAAGTAAAGGGAATGCAGAAACCCGACGGGGGCGCCTTCATTTCTCACTGAGATCAGCAGCATCCCAGCCCCAGATGGCGAGTGGCGAGAAGCCGCATTCACCAGGCCACGCAGGTCGGGCCAGCTCCAATGACTCCTGGGCAGTGGAGTTCACTGATTCCATGGCTCGTGGCCGGGATTGCATAACAGACACAGAGGCCCAAGGGGGTGCGGATGACCAGGAGGGGCCTCACGCCTCCCGTCTCAGGGCGAGACCCAAGTCTCCCGCCAGGCTGCGTGGGCAGCTGCCCGCGGGGACACATCGCAGGGGAGGGGGGCGGCGAGCGCCACACAGCGCGGAGAGGAGATTCTTTGCCCAGCCGAGCCACGGCCAAACGCCATTACTTTGGAAGAAGGCGCTTTGGGGGACCTCAGCCCCGGCAGCCGAGAGGCCACCAGGTGGCAGCAGAGGACACAGCCCGGGACACAAAAACCCGAGCCATCTTGCCAAGCAGCAGATTCAGAAACGGAAGAGGACTCGGTTGAGAAATATCGTCGGTTGCCTCTCATCATGTGTTCAAAGTCAGAATGACCGAATTTCGAAGACAGGAGCGAAAATTCATCAGCGCGGAGCCGCCGCAGAACGCAGCTGCGGATGAAGCCGCGTATGACGAACTGGATTTCTCCAGTGCTTAAGACCAGAGGTGGGGTCACAGCCTTTGAAAGCTGACGTCAGCAGAAACCTCGTCGCACTTTCTTCTTTCTGTGAAGTTCCAATTCAAGTAAAATGAGCGACCTCCAAGAGGCTGCCAAGCTGATGAAGGAAGGGGCGGACACAGTGGGTGGCCGGGAAGCATTGCAGCAAAGCAGAATGCTGTCATGGAGCAGCCAGGGACTCTGGCAAAAGGCAGCGTGGAGGGGAGAATGAGGAACACAGGACAGATCTCAAACACTCTTCATTTGCAGCTGGCAGAGGATGATGCACAGGAAAGGGGCATTAGCAGCACTGGGACTAGATCCCAATCTTTTGACTTCTCATCTAATGCACCTGCCGTCGTTACATATTCCCTTACCTCCCACTCCCTAACAAAAATGTTTCCAGACACTGCAAAATGTCCTCTGGGGGACAAAATAAACCCTTCCTGAGAACCAGTGCTCTAGAAAGATATGATTTAAAAGTTTTTTTTGTTTTTTTTGTTTTTTTAACCAAAAGGGCTTTGAGGCCGGGCTCGGTGGCTCAGCCTGTAATCCCAGCGCTTTGGGAGGCCGAGGTGAGCGAATTGCCTGAGCCCGCGGGTTTGAGACGCGCCTGGGCAACTTGGCGAGACCTCATCTCTACAATAAATCAAAAAATTAGCTGGGTGTGGTAGCGCGCGCCTGTGGTTCCAGCTACTCGGAAGGCTGAGGTGGAAGGATTGGCTGAGGCGGAAGGATCGCTGGAGCCCAGCAGGTTGAGGCTGCGGTGGCCGGGAGCGGCCACTGCACTCCAGTCTGAGTGACAGAGTGAGACTCCAACTCAAAAAAAAAAAAAAAAAGGTTTTGAAAACTTTGTGTATAATCTAAGAATCTTATATTTCACATTTCTACAAAAACTGTATCGTATACCCCAGACCTGAATTCCTACCATATGTTTGTATAATGCAGAGAATGACAATTGAAAGACTATAGACTGAATCTGGCTCTAGATTTTTAAAAAATATTAACATTTTAAATCAGATTTCATATTTTAAAAGTCAACATTTCTGACTTCTACTGGAAAATTGGAGCTTTAGCCCTACCAGGTCCATAGTCCCACATTGTAAAATAAATTGAGTGAAGTTGATGGGATTCAAGTATTTAAATAGAATGTGTACTCTCTAGTTTGCCACAGTTCCCACCACTCCCTATTACCTCAAACTCAATCTGCTTCACCTACTTAAAGCACTTCTTGCTTCTATAGACAATTTATTTTCAACAGTCAACGTATTATAGTGTTAAAGTACTTTTTCATGTGTGATTTTATTTTAGCTTTGATACCCCACTAAGGTGGAGGATAAATATAACCTCTATGTGAGCAAAATATAGTTCAGAGTGGTTTCATTTGCCCAAGCAGAGCATCTAGATTTACTGACTCCAAGTCCTTTATTTATTTATTTACTTATTTATTTTTGAGGAAAAATGTCTAAGAACTTCACTTAGGGGTTCATGAAACCAAGCCAAAGAATTTGCATGGGCATAACTGCTGGAACAGATGTCTCAACTGCTCAGCTGTTCAAGAATCACCATAAATCGGGCTCAGTGGCTCGGCCTGTAATCCTGCGCCTTGGGAGGCTGAGGTGACTGGATTGCCTGAGCCTGAGGGTTCGAGACCTGCCTGGGCAACTTGGCAAGACCTCATCTCTACAATAAATAAAAAAATTAGCTGGGTGTGGTAGCGCGCGCCCGTAGTTCCAGCTACTTAGAGGGCTGAGGCAGAAGGATCGCCAGAGCCCAGCAGGTCGAGGCTGCAGTGGCCGGGAGCTGCCACTGCACTCCAGTCTGGGCTGCTGAGTGAGACTCCAACTCAAAAAAAAAAAAAAAAAAAAAAAATCACCATAAATGATTAACCCTTTTTCTTTTAATGAAATATTTCTGCTTCCCCTCTCCTTCCAGGCATATGAAAAAAACTGCCCTTCCTGCCTCCTTAAAGTTCCGTTGGCTATATGGTTTGCTTTGGCCAATGAACTGAGTGGAAGGGACACGTGTTCCTTCAGGGCAGCATTTAGGAGCCACTGAACAACCTCAAGCTTACTTCACATTCTGAGGGGGCAACCTTAAGCCTCATGGTGACATGCAAGATTTCAAAACGGTGGAGCTCCACCAGCTTGGGTATCTGAATAACTTACAATGGACAGAACCCCTTGCCAGCCTATTTTGGACATGTAGAATGAGAAACAGACCTTTGTGGTGTTAAGCCACGGCGGTTTTGGCATTTGCCACAGCATAACCTAGCCTAAACCGACTGATACAAGGTTCATTTGCATGGTCACTGAGCTTCTCTAGCAACCAAGATGCAGTATCTCGACTTCTGATCATATCACTAAAAGCTGAAAGACAAAGCAAACTGTTGATTTCCTTCTCTCACCCTCCCCATCTACCACCACCTTGTGAATTTGAAGAAAAGTATCCTTTTCTCAGAGCCCTTCACACATGAGCTCTCCATTATTCTGGCAGTTAGATTGCGGGGAGGAAGAAATGAGGAGGGCCCAGATCTTTTCTCCATTCCACAGCCTGATCCCAGAACTGTCCCCTCCCACTAGTACTCATACTTAACCTTGTCATAGGAAGACTATTACCACCCCAAGGTGCCACAAGCAGAAAGGAGCCGCAGCTGGCGCCACTGCAATGTCAAGGCAAGGCAGCCAGGCTGCGCTCTATCCTCACCGGTGCCTGGGCTTGGCTAAGCCGGGAGCGGCAGCATTCTCTAGGGAAAGAAGCCTTCTCAAGTGGGAACAAAAATGAGTGTGAGGCGAACACCTATCCCGGGCACTAAGAGAATGTGGGGTGAGTTCTCTCGGTACTCCAGCTCTGGTCAATTTCTAGCGGCTAGCAAGCTGCCCGGCTGGTGCTACTGGGACTCCCAGTCTCCCTGGGTTTCCCCCAAGCCCACCCGAGCTTGACATCTTTGCACACCCGCAAAGGTCATCAACGGCGGGGGGTTGAGCGCAGCCAGAGCTTCAGCAACCCGACCGCAGCCGGGATCAAAGGTCGAGTCCGCCGGGAGACCGAGCCTGCGCAGTCCCGCTCCCGCCTTGGCGAGAGGGTGGCGGCAGCGCGGGCTCGTTTCGGCGGCGTGCTCGCAGGAGGCGGGAAAGTGTTGGGTCGGGTCGCGGCGTCCCTCCCTCTCCCTGCCCCGTCCACCCGCCTGCCCAGCGAGCCTGTCCGTCCTCCTCCGGCGCCCAGGCCCCAGGGGAGGGGGACCAGAAAGGCCCCGCGCTTCTGACTCATCATCTCCTACCCCTTTCTCGCGCGCGCTCCAAGTCTCAGGACTTCGGACTTGGGCACTCGTGCGAGGGGGCGCGGCGACAGCGTCTGGGAAATCCCAGCTCTGCCCAGCGCCAGCCCTCAGCCCTCGCCAGTCTCTGAAGCTGCCAGCGAAGGGGCGCACACCCAGAGTCAGCGCTCGGTTGCCGTGGCTGGGGTGGCGGCGCCCCAGCGCAGGACGGCCCGCCCGGCTCCCCCACGAGCGCGGGGGCCAGTGGTCGCGTCCGAGGAAACTCTCGGCTAGGCCCTGACACCGAGCGCCTCGCGTCACTCAGCAGAGATGCACAGCGCCCCCACGGCGGGAGGGCAGGCTCTTTATTTCCCAGTAGGCCACGGGGCAGCGGGGCATCCTGGGACTTGTAGTCTCCGCTGCAGTAGAAAGGAACCGGGTCGAAGGGGGAACTGGAGCAGCCCTGAACTGGACTCAGAGAGTTGGCGTGTGCGGGAACTGCGGCTCGGAGTGGATGGGATTATGAATGGTGGACAGAAAAGAACTGTGAAATGAGGCGGACTTGAGGCTGTATGGGGAAGCGGTGGGGAAGCAGCATATGAATGGAAGGGAGAAAGCAACTTTTCAGGGCAGTGAAGCACGAGGGAGGACTCTCGTCCAGGTATATCTTTCTTTAGGAGAGGGGAAGAAGAAGGCACCCCCTCCCCCGGAATTATTCATATCGGTCTCAAGGGAGTCCCGACTAGCTTCTGAGTTCCGTGGGGTGGGTTGCAGGACCCTTTGGAGAGCTCCCTCAGGGTGGAAGGAGAGCAGCACCTGCCTGCTCCCCTTGGCCTGCTTGCTCATTTGTTCTGTTGCCTGTGCTGGCCACCATGGGACCGTTCTCCAAACCAGGAACCTCCTCCAAACCAGGAACCTCCTCCAACTCAGAGAGTCCCTGAAAACCAAAGAGAGGTGTGAGCAAATTGTAGGGGTGAGAAAGGAGAAACCTAGGCTGTAGCAACTGCTTCTTCTTCCCCCGTTTAAAAAATAAAATCGTGTTCCCCATAGCCTTTCCAATATTTGGGCAGCCTCCTAATGCCTTCCCACTCTTCTAACCCCAATCATTTGGAAACCCGATCGCCTCTTACCCACTATTAGGGGAGAAATGGCCAAAGCTGAAAGCCAATTCGTTTCAGGCTAGGACCTCTTCATTTTCCTCCTGCCCCATTGTTTTCCCTTAAGTGTCACTGACCAGGACAGCCAGTGGAAAAATTAGCTGGCAGCCAGCTGCTCATGCTTTCCTCCCTGCCCTCAATACCTCCTGCAGCTCCTGGTAGTGCAGATTCTGGCTCCTGCAGCATCCTGGCTTCCTCTGGCTCAGCAAGAATAGGGCCTGCGCTGAGACCAGCACTCCTCCTAGGGTGAAGGCCTCCGTGCTGAGTTCCAGAACCAGCAGGCCAACCAGCTGCAGATAGACAGGGCTGAGGATGCTGCTGGGACCCGGTACCTGTTAACTCCTGCCCTTTTTCCTTCTCCATCTCTTTTTGCCCCCTCATCTTCCCACCTACTCCTTCATTCACCCGTACCTGGGAAGGGGCAGTTGGGGCAGATCCCAAGGCTGTCTTCATCACCTCCACCACCACCACGATGAAACCCAAGATCAAGTTGAAAGTGTTGAATATCATCATGGCCCGCACCTGCCAGTGAGCCAGCTCAGCCCTGCTCAACCCAGGGGACTCATTCCAACCTCAAGCCCCACCTGCACCCTAGCTGAAAACAAAACTCAGCTCCTGCTTCCCCACCTCCAAACAGGGCCACCAGCTCTTTTACTAACTTGCTCTTCCTCTTCAGTTTTTTAGGCCAGCCAGTGTCAGACAGCTCAGAGAATAAGTCAACACTTAGCCACTTATTTCCTAGGCGGAGGGGTGTGTGTGTGATTTGGGGGGGAGGGCGGTGGGCGGACAGTACTGCGTTCTCTTCCACTCTCACCTTCCAGAGGCGGGGTGCCCTGCGAAGCTCAAGGGTGACAATCCCAGTGAGGAAACCCTGAATGGTGAGAGGGGCAAATACTGACCTCTGGCCCCATTAGAGAGGGGACCCGAGGCCTTCCTTCCTCCCTCCCTTGTGGTGGGTCTTACTGAGGCTCCAGGCCCAAGAGGCAGCGCTGTGGCCATGTGACAAGCAGAGTTCAGGCAGGCGACTGAGACAGCAAAGGGCACGACAGCCACTGCCAGCCATAGCTGACTTACCTGGGGATGAGTGCACAGGGCAGGAAAGTAATCAACCAAGGGCAGTGAAATGAGTCATAATTAAAAATTAAATATCAGCTAGGCTCGGTGGCTCAACCTGTAATCCCGCGCCTTGGGAGGCTGAGGTGAGTGGATTGCCTGAGCCCGCAGGTTCGAGACCCGCCTGGGTAACTTGGCGAGACCTCATCTCTACAATAAATCAGCCGGGTGTGTAGCGCCCGCCTGTAGTTCCAGCTACTTGGAAGGCTGAGGTGGAAGGATCGCCAGAGCCCAGCAGGTTCGAGGCTGCGGTGACCGGGAGTGGCCACTGCACTCCAGTCTGGGCGACAGAGTGAGACTCCAACTCAAAAAAAAAACTAAATATCGTTAAAATTTTTCTGCCTTATGTTGTAGTTAAGTTGCTTACCTGTATGTTTCCCCCACAAAATAGAAGCTACTTGGAGATTAAAGGTCTTGCCTTGTTTATTTCTGTTTCCTTCTCCCACCTCCCACTCAGAGCCTAGCATAGTTTCTGGCACATGGTAAGTGCTCACTAAACATGGATGGATGGAATTGACTTGGGCACAAGTGGACATGCTGAGACTTCGGGTGGGGCAGCCTGGCCTCACCGCCAGCACCAAGAGGTGCCCACTCTGCCTGTGTCTCGCCCAGTGCTGTAGCTTTTCCAGACGGAGGTTGGATCTCTCCTGCTCTTGCTGACCAACTCTCTCTTCCATGGCTCCCTTGACCATAAAAGCTGGGTGCTTCCTAGGCTGGAAAAAATGCATCGTAGGTTCTGTCTGTCAGGAGACAGGATATACAGCAACGTCTCTTTCAGTTACCCCTCTGCCCAACTCCCAATATCCAGGGAGTTGAGGCCCAAGACCTCACACCTACCTAGTCTGAAGCAGGTACTCCAAAGGGATAAGACCCAATTGGGTCCTAGGACTCCTGAGTGGCTTGGTAGCTCAGCGCCGAGGACAAACTTGTCCTGGCAGAGAAAGGCTGTCAGGACTGGGGTGTGGTGGGGCAAAGGTCTCCATGGAGGCCTAAGGATCCAGGAAGTGGCCTGGGCAGTTCATTCCACAAGATGCCCAGCCCTGCCTCACTCTGTTCCGGTTTCCTATTGCTCCTGTTCTGCCCATTCTGGGTTCCTCTTCTGGTTTTATTCTCCTAGTCCCCATGGACACTATCACCCTGGACCTCAATTTCCCCTCATTTCCATCTAATCTTTCTCCTTTCTTTGGCTTCCTCCTCAAATTACTTGGTCTTCCCTAGAGAGATCCTACTTTGTGTCTGTATTGGTCCCCTGTCATTATTACTTGCAGCTTTGTCCCTAGACCAGGTAAGGTTTAATTCCACTAACTTTCCTGTCTTTCAATTTCTGGACAGTTTCATCATTTTATCTTTTTCCCTCCTCCTTTCTTCTTCTTCTTTTTTTTTTTTTTCTTTTCTTTTTTTGAGTAGAGGGTGTCTCACTCTGTCACCCAGACTGGAATACAGTGGCATGATCATGGCTCACCACAGCCTTGACCTCCTGGGTTTACACAATCCTTTCACCTCAGCCTCTCTAGTAGCTGGGACTACAGGTGTGCACCACCATGTCTGGCTAATTTATTCTATTTTATTTTTATAGAGACAAGGTCTCACTATGTTGCCTAGGCTGGTGGTTTCCAAGTCCTGGGCCCAACTGATCCTCCTGCTTCCGCCTCCCAAAGTGCTGGGATTACAGGCATGAGCCACTGTGCCTGGCTTCTCTCCCTCCTTTCTTGGAGGATTTACTCTGAATTGAACACTGACTAAGTGGATGGGGAGCCCTGTTTATAGTAGGGATTGTTCTTGACTTGATAATAACCTGCAGCTAGACATATATAAACGATAATTCGACCGGGCACGGTGGTTCACACCTCAAATACCAGCACTTTGGGAGGCTGAGGTGAGGATTGCTTGAGCCCACGGGTTCGAGACCACCCTGGGCAACTTGGCAAGACCTCATCTCTACAATAGATCAAAAAATTAGCCAGGCATGGTGGCACATGCCTATAGTCCCAGCTACTTGGGAGACGGAGGGGGGAAGATCTCTTGAACCCAGCAAGTTGAGGCTGTGGTGGCTGTGAGCATGCCACTGCATTCCAGCCTGGGAAACAGAGTGAGATCCTAACTCAAAAAAAAAAACAAACAACAAAAAAGATAATCCGCAAATGGTCGGTCTTGGGAAGGATACTGTTGCAACAACTAATATTTTTGAGAGTAGGTGCCTTGCAGCCAGACAGATTTGTACTAGTCTCTAGCTCTGCTGCTTTTCCAGCTGTTTGACCTTGGATATATTATTCCACGTATTTGAAGCTCAGTTTTTTTACTGATAAAAGGTGGCTAACATATGACTGTGGAGGGTTGTTGATTTAGTGGGTGCCTAATAACCATTAGTGATGCTGATGAAGTTTTGCTGATGCCCATATATTAAAGGGTTTTTTCAGAAGCTAAGCTGGGGACCTTCATTTCTACAGTAAGAAGCAGAACCAGCCGGGCCCAAATATATACTCTATAAAGGAAAGATAGGGGCCGGGTGTGGTGGCTCATGCCTGTAATCCCAGCACTTTGGGAGGCCGAGGCAAGAGGATTGCCTGAGCCCAGGGGTTCGAGACCAGCCTGGGCAGCTTGGCGAGACCTCATCTCTACAATAAATGAATTTTTAAAAAAATTAGCTGGGTGTGGTGGCATGTGCCTGTGGTTCCAGCTACTTGGAAGGCTGAGATGGAAGGATCGTTTCAGCTCAGCAGGTCAGGGCTGTGGTGGCCATTACACTCCAGCCTGGGCAACAGAGTGAAATGCCAACTCAAAAAAAAAAAAAAGGAAAGATAGGAAAGGCCCATCTTGGTGTAGAGCCTGAGGTCTGGAGGAAACTAGACTTCTGTTCAAGTCCAGATCTACCCGGGTGCCCTTGGGCAAGTTCCTTAATCTCTCTGTTCCCTTATCTACAAAGGGAAGTTAATAATACCAATCTCAAGGGGTTGCCTTGAGCATTAAAGGAGAGGAGCTTAGCCTGGCATGTGGCACATATAAATGCTCAATAAATGTTAGTGGCTATAATCATCATCATTATTATTATTTATGATTATTGATGATAGAAGACCAAGCCAGAAGACCCTTGGGAGTTAGGAGGCAGGGTCCTGGGAGGCAAGTGGCCTTCTTTATAAGCCACTGCTGCTCTGCTCAGTGCTGTGCCAGTATCAGTGGAGCACAGTATCCACTCTTTTCTTTCCCGGGAATGGGAATCACGTTTTAAAGGGATTCAGAACTGTTGTGTCTCCTCCTTCCTCCTCAGTCCCCATGTACATTAATTTTATTTGGTGGCGATGTGAGCTGTTGGGCTTGCACTGAGGGTCCCCGAGCTTGTAGGCCAGTGGGGAAAGACTCCTTGAGCCTCATTTTCCTTAACTGTAAACGAGGACTAATTATATGACAGAGGGTTGCTGTAAGTGTTATATCCTGTTAAATACGTGAACAGGCATTCAGTCAATATTGACTAAATCTGGGTACGCTAGTTGCAAGTTCATAGCCCCAGTCTAGACTACCATCTCCTCAAAGGAAGGTTCCTCGTCCCTCTCGTCGGTACATCCCCCACGGCGCCGAGCACAGTGCCTGGTACTTAGTAGGCACTCAGTAAATATTTGTTGTATTGAAGAGCCATCAGAGTGACTTGAGGAATGGAAAACAGAATTCGAGAGGCAGGAGCGGGAATTGTTTATCAAGAACAGAAAGGACCGAAGAGTAACTTTAATAATGTTTCTTATACGGCCGACATTAACTATCTATCATCGCTCCTCCTCCTCCCCAAAAAGAGAGACAGAAATTGTAAGGGAGAGGCTTTGAGATAAAACCCCAGGAAGAACTTCCCGAGTCTGTGCATGTTGGGGCAGAAAGAGCGGCAGAGCCAACTCCTTCCCTGGTATGTCCGGGTTCGGGGTGGGAGGAGCAGCGCGGCTTGGAGGCTGGGGGAAGGACGAGATGACCTTTCCAAATCTCTTCCAGTCTCCGGCTGGAAGCGTCTGTGCGCCCCACCCCCGCTCCCTCCCTGCCTCCCTCCCTCCGACAGCGCCCCCCGT